AGACAACGCATGAAATTAGCCTTTTATATATTCCTTATGATGAGAAGATATGGGTTCTAAAATCTGAACGTCCTTACCCAAGAAGAGACAGAACAAAAGGTTCCAAGAAAAGAGCAAATGTGAGCTTTGGTCTCTCTTTCCTGTAGGAGGAGAAACAAAAATCAAAAGTCATCGTGATTGGTGTAGAAAAATGTTCTTCTATTACCAAACAGTCTAACATGTCACGTTGTAAACAATATGTAGAAATGTTGAACTGGTCGTGATGTGAACAAAACAAGTATATATATGGAAAAGAAAGTTCCCCTATAATTAAGTACAAATGTAGCTTTATATATATACCTTTCAAGAACATAGGCAAAAGGGAACATCACCAAGGCTGATGCGATGTGTCGATAAGTAATGTGGACATGATCAGCCCATGATTGAAGGAAGCTTCTGTGAGAAAATATAAAAATGTAAAGGCCACCTGAGGTAAAACCATGAGGATGTGTGGCTTGAACTTCATGTAAACTTTTCCGAGGTTACGAACTTCCTCCCATGCCATAACCACCTCCGGCCGGTTGTTCCCTCTTCTTCCTTCTCTTTTCAATACTTGACAAGCTGGAGGCACATCTTGCATGTACTCATATAGTTCAGTCTTGATTCTTGTTTGTGTTGATGGTATCATGTTCTTGATTAAGTTCTTATAACAATTTGACTTACTATCATTATGTTTTCTAATTGTTTTCTGGGAAAAGAAGCAGGATTTGTGTGAAATTCTACTTGCTTAGGTATCATGTATGCCATTGCATCCTTTTGGAATATGAACTTTGCACCATAGAATACAGAATAGCAATGAAGACTTTATTTTATTTTATTTATCTATATGTATAAAGTGAGAAGGCCAATTAGTTTTATCTCAAAACACCATAAACAATCAAATATTAAAAAGCATAAAGGCTAAAACAATCAAGAGTTAATTGTCACAAGCGTGGGTAAGATGCTAGTTTCTTATTAGAAGAAAAGTTCTGATAACATTGGGAATTACAACTGGTTACGTAATCACATTAAAGAGTGCTTCTTCAATCCAAATTAAATCATCAAAATTTAGATTTTAGAGCATGAAGGGCTAAAAGATGTGCAGCCTCATCCCACGGAAACAATCACGAATTTATCTCTAGCTATAACCAAGGTTAAAGCAGACTTCATTCTCTTGCTCTCATGTTTGTCACTCAACTAGCTTTTCTTTGTCACCTTCATCTTCTTCTTTTAGTTTTTATTATGTTCGAATTTTGATTCGTGATTTCCGTCTCGATGGATTCCAGGGAAGGATCCAATCTTATCCTTATGGTTCACCATGCTGCACATTTTTGTTAGCTGAAGTGATCTGTACGCCATTATCTTTATGCTCTTCATACTTTGTCTGATAAGATGACTCTTCCGCCTTGACGTAAATTTCATCACCTTCTTTTCCCCATAACAGCAAGTATAGACCAAGGATGACAATGAACGCCCCTACTATGCTGAACAAACCACACACGAAATTTTAGATTAATCTAGGATTGGTAACACAACATGGCGGTGTTACGGTCACATAATGTGGCTCAATAATATGCATCATACAAAGTTATCAGCAAAATCATATTAGATTGGATGATGTAATACGAAAAAGAAATTACCTGCCAGCATAAAGTCTTTCACCGAGGACAAAGTAAGCTAAAACAGCCACCAAAATTGTTGATACAGGATTAAACATGGTCACAAAAACTGGCCCTTTCTCTTCTGTGCACCATAGTTGAATGAAGATTATTAGACCTGAGCACACCACTCCCTGCGATACGCCACCACATTAGAAGAGTGCTACCAATAACTATTTCGTTTTAAGTTTTTATTTGTCATTTTATGTAGGTAGCATTTCGCGCATATTTCTTCCACCTCCCTCGAATCTTGCATCCATCTAAAACAATGAAAACTAAAAACCAAAATGGTTACAAAATGGGTTGTAGTTTCACCGTCATTTTCAGAAAATCCCCGATACTTACAGCATATAATATCGACCAGAGGTCAACGTTGAATCCGATTGTCCAAGCAGCTCGTCTATGTTCTATACACACGGTGAAGACAGCTGATTGTGCTGCCCCTATAAAGCTCATCCATGTAGTCAATGATAGTTGTGCAGGATATCTTCTCAATGTGATTGCCTACAATAATCTTATTCTTTTCAGAAAATTATTTGTATAAATTACATGCCAACATCACCAATGTAAATTATCAGAAATTCTATATTTAGTCTCACTTATATGCAGGAATTCTGTAATGTGGGTTAACCACAAATAAAAGTTGCAGTTAACTGGTGAATGTTGTGTCGAGGTGGTTGAGAGGGTTGAGATAGCGATCAATATGTGCACTCGGTCACATATTCATCAGTTAACTACACCTTTTTTGGAGTGACAATAACATCTCACCTTCAGTTAACTTCATTAGTTCATTAGATAACAATTCAATATACATTTGTAAGTGTACTTTTGAGTAAGGGGTGAAACCTGCATGATGTACCATGCCGACCATGTTATGCAACTTGCAACAGTTAGAATTGAACCCTTTAACCAGTTCTCATGGATGGAGGATTTGCCTTCAACATGGATTAGTGCAGGCCACAAATTTTTGATAATAGGCCCCTTGTACAATATCATGGTCATCACACCCGCTAAGGACATTAGGCTACCCAAAACTTTTGCTAACCCTCTAGGATTTCGAAGGTCAAGAGCCTCCAACCTGAATAAAAACGTAATTTATTAAGGATAAAATGTGAATTAATGCCTGGATTTACGGATAAGTAGGTGTACTAACCTCAGTACAATTGCAATTACAAAGGTTAGGGACGCTATGGTGTTGACCATTGATGCAAGGAAGGTCGGAGAGGTGTATCTTAAGCTTGCAAAGTACATGTTTAATGTCAAGCCCACCCTGCAAACATTGGAAAGAGAGAAGAAAAAAAAAAAAGAGCTTAGTTAGCGCTTTGATTTGTCCCTTCATCAGAAGCATATATGGGTTCTAATTCTACATGTCCTTACCCCAATAGAGAGAGTAAAAAAAGTTCCAAGAAAAGTGCAAAAGTGAGCTTCGGTCTCTCTGTTCTGCAGGTGAAGAATCAAAGATCAATAGTTAACCGCAGGACATGATTGACAATATGTAGAAATATTTGAGTCACACGTGAACATGTTTCAAGAATCAGGAAGTATCTCTTACTAGACCGTCTGACATATTATGTTGTTAGGCTATTAGACTAAAGAATGTTGCCCTATTCAAGTACAAATGCAGCTTTATACACAATATTGATACCTTTCAAGAAAATAAGCAAAAGGGAGCATCACTACGCCGGACACAATATGTCGATAAGTTATGTAGACGTGAGGGTTCATCCCATGATTGAAGGACGCTTCTGTGATAAAATACAGAAATGTATACCCCATCTGGGCTAAAATCATGAGGAGGTGTGGCTTGAACTTCCTGTAAAGTCCCTTAAGGTTACTACTACGTAACTCGTGTGCCATAACCTCCTCCGGTTGTCCGGCCGCCTTTCTTCCTTCTTCTATTTCAGTTCTAGACAAGCTGGAGGAGCACATCATGCATGTATACGTTCATATAGGGCACGATGGAATAGTTAAGTCTTGATTCTTGTTTCATGTTGACAGTATTAGGTTCTTCATTAATCTTCTGGCTTCATTCATAGAATAGATAAGTGGAATAGCAGAAGATATTCGATCCCAATAAGTATATCCAATATTCTTTGATGATTATAATGTTAACTTTCAATTAGAGAAGATTTTTATTTATAGAATTTATCATCAATCTGTGTGTAGTCTCTTCTGCCAAATTAGCAATTTGTCTGCCGATTGATTTCATGGCATCCACTCGGAAAATGACTCCTGCATCATTTATCTTAGCGAACCATTAGAGAATTGCATTAGCAATGAAGATTTTATTATTGATGTGATTGCAATGATCATCATGTATTTCTTTATCAATTAAATTGGTTACCTATATATATTATACATATTTTCTAGGGATGCTACGACCTTCTTGGACCTTTTTGGCTCTCATTTTTATTCTACCATGTTGCGTGACGATCGAATTCGCCTACTTTCTAATCCACCCCTTCAATAAAAATATCAACAAAATCATAAGTCGCTTAACCTTAAATTAACGTTGTCAGATATTTGTATAACACAATGGCATGGTTTGTCTTGGATAGATGACTAAACGATTTTGGATTTGGTTGGTATCACGCAAAATTAATCTTAAAATGGTCACTTATAAGATAGATGGTTTGGATTATTACGCAATATTCTTCATTCTGAGAAATGAGAAGAGAATCCTAAAGATAGAACGAGAATGTTAAACTAAGAAGTTGCTATTCTATATATTCCCAATGTCACTCGTCAAGGAAATATGCGACTTCAATGTAGCACTAAGTGCTATGGTATTTTAGTCATTAGATGTGATTTCATAATTATTAGATCTTCTCTTTTCAATTTTAACCATTCATCTTCCGTACCACTGCTACTTCCACGAGCCCCATTTCAACTATTGCGACTGGGCAAGACTCTTGTACACGAGTATAAAGATACATCCTGCTTAAATTCATTTGATATCTATGACTTCATATGACGAGGTTGGTAGGGTATAACATGAGAGGTGAGTTTTTCTTGTTCTTGGTATGAGAAAGCTTTGAAGATGGGGACGTGGAACGGGTCATTGATTTAGTAGAACATGACACATGTTATTGTTTTATTAGATCAAACGATACAATGACCGTAAACTCATTTCATATAAGTTATTTAAACAGACTATTCGTAAAGTAAACCCCACCAGTCCACAATCACCGCATCTTGAAAGAATAGTTTTCTCTTCCGCTGAGCTCAAGTGCTCAACCCAAGCCCCACCAGGCCACCACCACAACTATGTCTGGTATCAAACACAACTTCCCATTCACTATTCCACGGGACAGGACCACACAATGAAAGAGACAACACTTGCTACATTCATCTTTCAGATTTACATACATTATACTTCTTCCAATGTGGGAATCATTTTGTTGAGTAGCTTCTGCCGGTCATGATTAATTATAGCCTCTGAATCTAATTTTGGACAGACAAATGGGTTAAAGTAGTGGCTGATAGGCTGATAGCATACTTTCACCTGCCACTGACAGTGGACCCTATCCAACAACTAACCCAACAATCTCTGCTTCCACTGACTTTTTTTGTAATCATTTTGCTTCTTGATGCAATTTCAAATGATACTTCTCTTGCTGCCACTTATCCCACAACATCTGTCAAAACTTTATTATATTCCGATATATAATATACAATTAATGAATGAAAACCGAAAGTTCTGCCAAAAATCTAACAACCAAGTAGTCAACAACCACAGTATATCCTCCAATATCAAGAGAACACCAAGGATTTTGCCAAAACCACTAAATACACCTGCAAAAGACATACAAGAGGAATGCTTGGGCGAGTCGTCCATGCATGTATATGACTCCCAGGTTCCTAGCCATTGATGCAGTTGGATCTACACTTGTATCAATGATTGGGAGTCATTCGCACCAAGGGCAACCATCCCTAGCATAATTCATGTTACCAATATCAATGACCCAAATCAAGTGTTTCTTTGCTCAAACACAAGCAAAATTAAAGCAGACTTCTCTAAAAAAGGAAAACTAATGAAAAAGGTTTGAAAACTTTGAGTTTTAATGATAAGAACAAAATAAAGGGTAAAGTGAATAGTACCAGATTTGACCTTTTAGTGTAAAAATGTGATTTTTCGTTAAAGTGAACAGTATCGTGGGCTTTTCGTTAAAACTCCCAAAAATATAATACCATTGTGAACACGGAAAATTCCTGAAACGAAAGAGACAAGAACAACGTGCACAAAATAATATTTGGTGTTTGATGATTTTGGGTTACAATCTCTCTCAAATTTGATCCTCTGATTCGATCTCCGTAAGGTGTTGATTTGTGGATGTTTCGTTGATCCAAGGGCCGTCGAGGCTTGATCTTGGATGAACTGTTGGAAGTTTCTTCAAGGGGCCGTGGGCTTGATCTTTGAAGGTGGATTTGAGCGGATCTTCAAGGAGCCGTTGGGGCTTGATCTTGAGGATGAGTGTTTCTTCAAGGACCGTTAAGGTTTGATCTTGAATAACGGTGATGAACGGATCTTCAAGGGCTTTTGGGCTTGATCTTGAAGAACGGCTGGATGTGTGGATTTGTTGATGTTGTTGATCCAAGGGCCGTCGGGGCTTGATCTTGGATGAACGGATGATGAACGATGGTGCTTTCTTCAAGGGCCGTCGGGGCTTGATCTTGAATTGGTGGAAGTTCTTCAAGGGCCTTTGGGGCTTGATCTTGAATTGGTGGATGGTTTGATCCAAGGGCCGTCGGGGCTTGATCTTGGAAGAACGATGAACGAAGAACGAAGAAGACTTTCTTGATTCTTCGGGATGAACGAATGATGAACAATGAACATTTTCTTCAAGAACCGTCGGGGCTTGATCTTGAATTGGTGGAAGTTCTTCAAGGGCCTTTGGGGCTTGATCTTAGGATGAACAGTTATGTGGATTTAGTGATGTTGTTGATCCAAAGGGCCGTTGGGGCTTGATCTTAGGATGAATAGTTATGTGGATTTGGTGATGTTGTTGATCCAAAAGGGCCGTCAGGGCTTGATCTTAGGATGAACAGTTGTGTGGATTTGTTGAACACTTTCTTCAAGGGCCGTCGAGGCTTGATCTTGAATTGGTGGAAGTTCTTCAAGGGCCGTTGGGGCTTGATCTTGAAGGAGGATTTGACGAAGAACGAAGAAGGCTTTCTTGATCCTTCGGGATTTGCTTGAATTTGGGAGGTTGGATGCTTGAAAGCTTTAGAGTTTCAAAGCTTCAAGGATTTTGGATGTGTGGGGAGTATTCTCTTCCATTTTGGGAGTAGAGAAATGTATTTGTGAATTGGTTCCTTGATTCTTTGATGGAGGAGCCTATTTATAGGCTTTGGGAACGAATCACCACCATCCATTTGTTTTGGTGGATGTTGTAGGTGAATTTTGGTGGATGTTGTAGGTGAAACTTGATGGATGTTTGTAGGTGAAACTTGGTGGATGTTGTAGGTGAACTTAGTGTAAAGTGAATGAAGGTTGTAATTTTAATACAATGGTCAACATTTATTTCACCAAAATTTCAATGTTTACAAATGTAATCTTAATGCAATGGCTAACATTTATGCCACCGAAATTTCAATGTCTACAAATGCCCCCACTTCAAGGCACGTTGTATACATGTGCTTGTTACATGTAGGAGATGCGTTTTGAAGTCCCTTAATGTAGTTGTCAATCCAAGGGCCATCGAGGCTTGATCTTGAATTGGGCTGGAGATTTCTTTAAGGGTCGTTGAGGCTTGTTCTTGGACTTTGTTTGAAATTTCTTCAAGGGCCGTCGATGCTTGATCTTGAAGGTTGAAATTGGACCACAAGGAGCTTTATGTGGTAGATGATCTTTGGCTTTGGTAGTGGATGAATCGGCACGTATTTGTTTTTGCGCTTTGTTGACTTTCCACAGCTTTGATCTTGAACTGGATTGGAGGATTTTTTGGATTCCTCCAATTGTTGATTTTCCACAGCTTATTCTTGAACTGGATTTGATTCAAATATGGTGGACGCTTGATCTTGAATCGGACTTGTGATTTCCTCAAGGGCCGTCGAGGCTTGATCTTGAATTTGGCCGGAAACTTCTTCAAGGGCCGTTGATGCTTGATTCTTGAAGGTTGACTCGAACACATGGCAAGCAGGCACGAGGTGAAGGTGACGACTTGTTTGCTTTTGTTCAATCTTTCTAATTCACACCTGAGCAGTTTGGTCAACGGTATGATCTTCAAGATTGATGGGCTCTTCTTCCAGTTGGTGACTTGATCTTTAAGGACTTGATTCAAGGGTGGTGAAACGGCACATGCATCCCACAACGCCTAACAAGTCGACCCAAGAATTTGAGGGTCAAAACGAGTCCTCCACCCAGAATGATTGCAAACCTGATGATATGAGATACTTTTGATTTTGAAGAAGTAGCGGATGAATCGACACGTGCTTTGTTGTGCTTGTCTCCACATGCTTCAATGTATCATTTTCCCTTGTCTTATCTATTCTTCTAGTAGAATGTAGCATCTTCTCGAGTTCTTCAGCTCAGACTCCTTCTGCTGAGCTGACTGTGCAAGCTGCATTCTTCTCTACTTGTTTCTTCAGGCAGATGTGGCAGCTTCTTGAGTTCCTCAGCTCGGACTCCTTCTACTGAGCTGACTGTGAAGACTGCATTATTCTCTGCTTGTTTCTTCTGCACGTTATCTCCACATGCTGCAAGGTATCATTTTCACTTGCCTTATCTGTTCTCCAGGCAAATGTGGCATCCGAGTTTGAGTGGAGGTTCCGGCATATTGTTTTCTTTATCCTTGTCTTTGTAGGTAAGAACAAGGACAAAGGAAAGGACAGGGAGAACGCATAATATGAGATACTCTTGCTTTCTACCCTGGTGATATGAGATACTTTTGCTTTGGTGTCATTTGTTTGCAGAGGTACCCCAAGGAATAAGAAACACTGAGTGACTCGAGAGGCTTCGTTGGGAAGGCATTCTCGGAGAATGAAGAAAGGTTCTCGAGATGAAGAAAAGGTTATGTATGTCTGCCTTGCTATGGAGGGTGAAAGTGGACAGTTATAGGAAATTCTTTAGTACCTGTAGAGGTACTATTTCTTTACTCGTGTCGGCAACCAATGCGTGATTGATCAGTATGGCTTCACGTGCTTTCTTCTTTATCAGAAATCTTCGACAAATTGTCCGTAATTTTCGTCAAGCTGAGTGTGCATGTGACATGTGTTGACGAGGCTGAAAAAAGACTGGCGCCTCTTCGATATCTGGGATCGGCGCTTCGACAAATTGCCCGTGATTTCCGCAAAGCTGAGTTTGCGCGTGACGGGTGCTGACGAGGCCGAAAAAGACTGGCGCCTCTTCGATATCTAGGATTGGCGTTTTAACAAATTGCCCGTGATTTCCGCAAAGCTGAGTTTGCGCGTGACGGGTGCTAATGCATCTGGAAAAGCAAGATGCTTCTCCGATTTCTGAGCTTGCCTCTTTGATTTTTGAATTGGCCTCTTCGAATTCTGAGCTCGCCTCTTCGATCTTTGAAATCCCGTTGAGTGTTGATCTTTATAGAGGCACGCAGTTCGTTTCAAAGCACACTTGAATTTTCGCTTGTAGAAACTCCCTTCTTGCACTTCTAAGATCTTGATTTGTCCGACCTCTTCTTCCTTCAACAGCTTTGAAAATGTCTGGACCTTCCGACCGTCATTTTGATTTGAATCTTGGTGAAGAGGCAGTCCCGCCTTCTCCAGACAACATATGGCGCCCATCCTTCATATCCCCTACTGGTCCTCTTACCGTTGGGGATTCGGTGATGAAGAATGATATGACCGCTACGGTGGTGGCCCGAAACCTTGTCACTCCCAGAGATAACAGACTACTTTCCAAACGGTCTGATGAGTTGGCTGTTAAGGATTCTCTGGCTCTCAGTGTGCAGTGTGCAGGTTCTGTGTCTAATATGGCCCAACGCCTATTTGCTCGAACCCGTCAAGTTGAATCATTGGCAGCTGAAGTGACGAGTCTCAAACAGGAGATTAAAGGGCTCAAGCAGGAGAATAAACAATTGCATAAGCTCGCACATAGCTATGCGACAAACATGAAGAGGAAGATTAACCAGATGCAGGAATCTGATGGTCAGATTTTACTTGATCATCAGAGGTTTGTCGGTTTGTTCCAGCAGCATTTGCCTTCGTCTTCTGGGGCTGTACCGCGTAATGAAGCTCCAAATGATCAACCTTTGGCTCATCTTCTTCCTGGAGTTCCGCCGAGTGGTGTGGCTTCAAACAGTCAACCTCCGGCGCCTCTCATTTCTGGAGCTCTGCCGAGTGGTGAGGCGACACCTGATCGTCCTTGAAGATCCCCTCTTGTAAATTTGATTTGATTTTTTTTTTTTAAGTATGTAGAATGGAAATTTATGTAAAATTTCCAGAAAAAATAAATAAAAACGGACTTTATTTCTCTCAATGCATTTGTTTTTGTTTTTTTTTGTAAATACATAATAACATATGTATTTATTTATTTATTCTTTTGTAATAAAATTGACTTTCTTTAATAAAACTTTTATATTTTTTTTATTTTTTATTTTGATATGACTGAACTCGAAATTGAATGTTCGAGCCGCCTACGTACCCTTCCAAAGAGGAGATCAAGCCATAATGTAGTTCAAATGAGTGATGAATTTAACAGTAATTTTGATGATGATTTTGCCATACACAGTTTATGCTCTTGCGGGCCAGGAGCTTTGGTGCCGTTCGCAGTTTCAGTTCGTACAAGCAAGGAGCATTGGTGCCGTTTGCAGTTTCAGCTCGTGCAGGCAATGAGTGTTGGTGTTGCCTTTTATGCTCGTGCAGACCAGGAGTGTTGGTGTCGCCTTTTATGCTCGTGCGGGTCAAGAGCGTTGATGTTGCCTTTTATGCTCGTGCGGGTCAGGAGCGTTGATGTTGCCTTTTATGCTCGTGCGGGTCAGGAGCGTTAATGTTGCCTTTTATACTCGTGCAGACCAGGAGCTTTGTGCCATGCAGTTTAGACTCGTGCGGGCAAGGAGCTTTGGTTCGTGCAGTTTAGGTTCGTGCGAACAAGGAGCATTGGTTCGTGCAGTTTAGGCTCGTGCGAACAAGGAGCATTGGTGTTGCCTTTTATGCTCGTGTAGACCAGGAGCTTTGTGCCATGCAGTTTAGACTTGTGCGGGCGAGGAGAATTTGTGAATTTTGTCAAGCAATTTTGGAAAGGCGTTCCTCACAATCTTCATAGCAAGGAGCCTTGATCGAGTGATTGAAGAAGTCTTTGGGCAAGAAGTCGCGCATCGTGATGGCAACAGACGATCTTTGTGTCACAATTTCATCATCCTCAACACTTTCGTGTAGCTTTGGAGGTTGACGAGAGCTGCTTTGCCCCCTTTCCAATTGGTGAACTTGTGGATGAGACGTATGCTTCTTGCGCAGTTTCTTTGGAGTAACATGCGTCCATCCTTCAACTTCACTTGACTTAACTAACGTGGTTTTGGAGCATGCCCCCAGCGGTTGAAGTGAAAATTTTGAATTGAAAGAGCCGGAAGTGATGGTGGTATAGTTTGACTTCACCATATCGTCAAGATCTAGCTCGATGATTCCTTTCTGGGCCAGCTTCATGATGAGATCTTTCAGCACGAAGCACTTTTCTGTCGGATGACTGATGAAGCGGTGGAATTTACAGTACCTAAGACTGTCGGTGCGATTCATCTCTTCTGGCCGTCTGCACTCAAGCAAGCCGATCACCTTCTTTTCTAGCAAGTCTTCTAACATGGCAACCACATCAGAGTCGGGGAATGGATAAGTTTTCTCTTCAAGCTCTTTCAAAGTGCCTCTACGCATCTCTTGATCACGAAAAGCTTCGGTTTGAATCGCCTTGCCTCGTGTAGGGATTTTGACGGGAGCTGTGTTGATCGTCATTGCTTCCTTAGTGGGTTTCCACGCAGTCTTCTCCAACTTTGGCCCAAGAACTTTGTCGTTCTTGTAGTCGGCGATCAGTTCTTTCTTCCCATGATGAGCGATGCTCAACTCCATGTCATGGGCCCGAGTGGCCAGCTCTTCGAAGGTCCATGGTTTAATGCCTTGAAGGATGTATTGCAAACCCCATTGCATACCTTGGACGCACATCTCGATTGAAGAGGTCTCCGAGAGCCTGTCTTTGCAGTCGAGGCTTAGAGTGTGCCATCTGTTGATGTAGTCAATGACCGGCTCATCTTTCCATTGCTTTGTGCTCATTAGCTCTAACATGCTCACAGTGCGGCGGGTGCTGTAGAAGCGGTTGAGGAATTCCCGCTCCAATTGCTCCCAGCTGTTGATGGACTCAGGCTCTAGGTCCGTGTACCACTCAAAGGCATTTCCTTTTAGCGAGCGCACAAACTGCTTGGCAAGGTAGTCCCCTTCGGTCCCTGCGTTGTTGCAAGTTTCAACAAAGTGGGCAACGTGCTGTTTCGAGTTTCCCTTTCCATCAAATTGCATGAACTTTGGCGGTTGATAACCCCTCGGCATCCTTAAGGCATCGATCTTCTTTGAATACGGCTTCGAGTACAACCCGGAGGTATTTGAGCTCCCTTCGTACTGTGCCTTGATGGTGTTGATGATCATCTCTTGCAGCTGCTGGATAGAAAGAGATCCCATGAGTACCGTTGCTTGGTCTGGCTCCGGCTTCACATCGATTCTCTCCACCGTAGGCTCATCTTCTGGGTTAGGGTTCTCGTCGTCCTGTGGCTCCAGTCGACTGATGAGTGCAGCGATTTGCAAGTCTTTTTCTTCCACAGTTCGGGTTAGCCTTACGATTGCTTCATTCATTTGAGCCAGTTGTTCTTCGATAGAGGTAACGCCGATGGTCATGACTTGTGCAACCAATAGACATGACTTTCCTTTAGACATCCAAGATGCTGACGAAGAACGTCGTTGGTTGTTTTGGGATGTCATCTTGTGTGCCTCAGCAGCATGCTTCGATGCCCCCAGCGAGGTCAGGTTGATGACAGACTCACACCTTTGATGCTCCCTTTGCTCTTTTAGCGGCACCAACTTTGAAGTGGCATGTTGAGGAGCGGTTGTGGCGCCAATGGATTGTCCATTTGCGGCAGAAGTGCTTAGGATCCTTCCCTCAGTGATTGCGAGAACGGCTTGTCCCTTGCTTGATGCCATTGACTTTGAGGTGTGTTTGGATTCCTTGAACGGAGAAAGAGATGACATGTAGAGATTATCCCACCGGGCGTGCCAATTTGTGAACACGGAAAATTCCTGAAACGAAAGAGACAAGAACAACGTGCACAAAATAATATTTGGTGTTTGATGATTTTGGGTTACAATCTCTCTCAAATTTGATCCTCTGATTCGATCTCCGTAAGGTGTTGATTTGTGGATGTTTCGTTGATCCAAGGGCCGTCGAGGCTTGATCTTGGATGAACTGTTGGAAGTTTCTTCAAGGGGCCGTGGGCTTGATCTTTGAAGGTGGATTTGAGCGGATCTTCAAGGAGCCGTTGGGGCTTGATCTTGAGGATGAGTGTTTCTTCAAGGGCCGTTAAGGTTTGATCTTGAATAACGGTGATGAACGGATCTTCAAGGGCTTTTGGGCTTGATCTTGAAAAACGGTTGGATGTGTGGATTTGTTGATGTTATTGATCCAAGGGCCGTCGGGGCTTGATATTGGATGAACGGATGATGAACGATGGTGCTTTCTTCAAGGGTCGTCAGGGTTTGATCTTGAATTGGTGGAAGTTCTTCAAGGGCCTTTGGGGCTTGATCTTGAATTGGTGGATGGTTTGATCCAAGGGCCGTCGGGGCTTGATCTTGGAAGAACGATGAACGAAGAACGAAGAAGGCTTTCTTGATTCTTCGGGATGAACGGATGATGAACAATGAACATTTTCTTCAAGGGCCGTCGGGGCTTGATCTTGAATTGGTGGAAGTTCTTCAAGGGCCTTTGGGGCTTGATCTTGAAGGTGGATGATTGTTGATCCAAAGGGCCGTTGGGGCTTGATCTTAGGATGAATAGTTATGTGGATTTAGTGATGTTGTTGATCCAAAGGGTCGTTGGGGCTTGATCTTAGGATGAACAGTTATGTGGATTTGGTGATGTTGTTGATCCAAAAGGGCAGTCGGGGCTTGATCTTAGGATGAATAGTTGTGTGGATTTGTTGAACACTTTCTTCAAGGGCCGTCGAGACTTGATCTTGAATTGGTGGAAGTTCTTCAAGAGCCGTTGGGGCTTGATCTTGAAGGAGGATTTGACGAAGAACGAAGAGGGCTTTCTTGATCCTTCGGGATTTGCTTGAATTTGGGAGGTTGGATGCTTGAAAGCTTTAGAGTTTCAAAGCTTCAAGGATTTTGGATGTGTGGGGAGTATTCTCTTCCATTTTGGGAGTAGAGAAATGTATTTGTGAATTGGTTCCTTGATTCTTTGATGGAGGAGCCTATTTATAGGCTTTGGGAACGAATCACCACCATCCATTTGTTTTGGTGGATGTTGTAGGTGAATTTTGGTGGATGTTGTAGGTGAAACTTGGTGGATGTTTGTACGTGAAACTTGGTGGATGTTGTAGGTGAACTTAGTGTATGATGTAGGTGAAGTGAATGAAGGTTGTAATTTTAATACAATGGTCAACATTTATTTCACCAAAATTTCAATGTTTACAAATGTAATCTTAATGCAATGGCTAACATTTATGCCACCGAAATTTCAATGTCTACAACCATAAATGGACATAATTTCCAGTGAGCTAAGAGTTCATGTGGATTTGGTTTCGGCATAAAATAATTAGCATACATCCAGTGGGATTCGGACAGAGGAGGAGCATCAAGTAGACAGATGAGCATGAGGAGTGAGGCGAGGACCACTCAAAGTAGAATGGTAGATGGCACTGCGTTATGCTTACTATGCAACTTGCTGTTTTGAAAGAAAAGAAAAGAACCCATCCAATAATGTTCCCTGAAGCATGTACAAAAACTGCACAAGACTAGCATCTGTTTTTTTTTTTTTTTTTCTTGTATTAAGAGCAAATTAATATGTACCAGCAAGATGCCTCACCAATAATACAGAAAAAAGTTATTTTTTTTTGTATATAATTTATGAATGCAAAATCCATCCTAGCCTCTCTCTCTCTCTCTCTCTCTCTCTCTCTCCTTGTTGATAAATCAGACACATGTGCATAAACCTTTTTTGTGATTTTTACATGTTAAATTAATATGTGTCAGTTTGTAGTTGCAGTTAAATGTAAGGAGCGAAGCAGTATTCACTATCCAATTCGGATCATCATCAATTTTTACAACTTCAACAGAAAAAGTAGTAATTCCCTTTGCTTATAATTCAACTCTATACAAGTACATGTAACAATTCTACAGTTCCAGTTGTTACAACTCTTTTCCAACTGATCTATCTCCACAGAATAAAAGTAATTTTCGAGTATTCTACCGCTATGCACTATCAAGTTTGTTTCCTTTTCTATCGACACTGAAATTTCTTGTTTTGGTTGTAAAGGAAAAATGAAATATGTATGACAAGAAGAAATACAATGAGATCAAACAAGTCCTAAGGCCTATACAAACACAAGAGATCTAACATGCTGCCAATAGCCAGAGCATAATCAGAGAAGAAATTGCGATTGTTACCCAGCTCAGGTACGCCAAACCAACTGCCATCTGGTATTTTTGGCATTCCCTTCCGTAATTGCAGTCATTCAGATCACTAAAGTACAACACGGTTACGCCCGCTGAGGCCGAAGCTGCTGCAAGAGACAATGTTGCTGTAACCTGTTGAAACATTAAACGAGTAAGCTGTTAAACGGCAAGCGCTATAAAGTAGGAACACAGATTTCATGTAAGAGTAAAACGAAGTCAGAGATTTATAGAGACTGACCCAGTCTCCAACAACAAAGAGGCTAACCAATACAGGGTTGTGCAGGACCTTCTTTTTCACCAAGGAATATGCATCAAGCAATGCAAGTACCAAACTCCAGATCAGTTGCAGACCCATTGAAGCAATCAGGTAGCTGCAAAATCAGCATTCTCTTAAACCAATATCGGACATCTTTCGGTACAAGAAATGGCTTGTGATGCGTCATAAATGGATGAAATTGGCATTCCAGTAAAGTAGTAGTGAATCAATTATATGGCATTAGAAACTCATCGGTGCTTAAATCTATCAACCAAAAGAAGCTGAAATCTGAAACCTATATAGTTGAGTTATGCAAAATCGAGGTGATAGCAACCAATTCAACAAGGCCAATGAAGATCACTGCCCAGCACATTTGCTAGTTCCAAATTCTAATATTGCTAATTGAATTATCAAGTCATATTTTATCAAATCTAATCAAAATTTCAGCAGAGTTTCAACTTCCTGCAGAGGAACTTCCCAATTCCTTCTGCTTACATTTAAATGTTTACATATCCCGAAAGTGTGTCAATCCTGTTCAGTTAAAGACTACAGTATAGCCAGAATCATCTGAAATAAAATCTAATAAGAAATCAGTGAGTCAGGAAAGCAAAATACCAGAAAGCAGTGAAATTGAAGAAGCTGGCAGTGGTGGCCATGGAAGCAATGGACCCGGCAGCAAAGACGCATTGGGAAATCCTGAGAAGAAGGCCAGTCAAAGTCCCAGGAGTCCCAGGAAAATCCCTCATTTGATTATTCCTCTCAAAACCCAGAAAAAGTATCAGATTCTTACTGGGTCAGAGAAAAAACCCCATCTTTCCTTTCATAAAAAACTCATCACCCAAAAAACAATAAGAAGAAAGCTCACCAACCCACTATTCCTTTTCTTTCAGGAACCCAAATCTCTGCTACCCAGAAAATAATTGGAGGTAAATTCCAACTGGGTAAGTTTGATTGTTGTGGAAAGTGAAGAACTTGGACTGCAATTTACAACAGAGAAAAGGGAAAGAGAGAGATGAAGTGAATGAATCAAGAAAAAGAGCTGAACAAAAATGGGATTCCCAACTTCTCCCCCAACCAACATGCTTGCGGTCAAATAGCGTGGGCAAATCTGGCCTGCTCCACCATAACATGAAAATTGATTGTTTCCTCCGTTTCCTCCGGACGCGCCAAGTGGCGCGTAACTTCAACCACGTATGATGTCACCAGACCATGCCACCTGGCCTACTAAATCAAAATTTAAACTCATTTAACAATAAACAGTGCATTAGTGATGCTCACCAAGGGAGCAAATGTATTTTTCTAATCTAGAGAGACTTAGGGCTGGTTTGGTATTGTTGTGCTTTAAAAAAAAATTGTTTCTGCTGTGCTGTGAGAATAAACAGCTGTGAAATAAAGCAGCAAAGTGTTTGGTAAATTTTTTTTGTAAAAATGCTTTTGAAAAAAAAAAAAACAGTATTACAGTGTTTGGTAAATTTTTATGTAAAACAAATGTGAAAAAAAGCCGGTTTTTCAAAACTGGGTTTTGCAGCTTCTTCTTTTTGGTTTTTTTTTCACCAAAAACTGTGAAAAAAAAACTGAAGCTAAATGTTTACCAAACACAAAAAAGCTCTCAGGTTTTTTTTATTCCAATTTTTTTCAAAATCACCTTAGTACCAAACCAGGGCTTACATTACACATACACTTTAGTAACTTATCGCATGTGTGTGGGTCTATCTACACGGTGTACATGTTTTATGCAAGATCTAATTGTTGTAAGTATTTATTAGATTTCTATATACAAGATCAAACTGTAAATTTTTTTAGATTACTAATGGCACGTACCAAGAAAGAAAAATCGTATGTCATCATATGTTTAGCTTTGCCAAAAACTATGAGTTTTACTTCCATGAGTGATGGTGTATAAAACCGAAATAAAACTGAAAATTAAATGATAGTACTTTAATATGATGTAAATTGTTCTCTAAACTATGAGAATTCAGTAAGGGTGAGCATCAATTCCCCTGAACCAGACCAAGAAAAAAGTCAAACGGTCCAAAATCCAACCGGATGATCATTGTTCGGTACCTAATTTTTTTTTTTAGTTTTTTGTTTTTTAATACAACGTGCTAGATGAAGATGTTGAAGTCGAGGTTTGATGAAGTTTTGTAGTTATTAATCTTTGGATGGTAGCTATATTAGTCATTCAACTTTAGATTTTGATGACATTTCAAACTTTAAAATTCTCCACGATTGGTTACCAAAGCTGAAAAATTGCAAACGAAAAATATTGAGCTAACAAAGTTAAGAAATTATATAGATTGTTACGCTAGTGGTGTCAGTCCTAACTCTTAATACAGTTTTAATTCAAAGATCAATAACTAAAAAGCTCCATCAAACTTCAAGTTCAAAAGTTCAGCATTCTAAACCCTATTTGTTTCAATTTTAGTTTTTATTTTTTCTAGCTTTGAGTTACAGATAAAGAAGCACCAAGGAAAAACTAAAAACCTTTTAAATTATTTTCATCTGAGATTTTATTTATTTTTCTTTCCTTTTTATTTATTTCCCAATTCCCCACTATTCTTCGTCTCTCCTTTCTTTATAATAAAAATACAAAATAAAAACGAAATAGTTATCAAATTTTCTCTAACCTTAATGATTATTATGACTTTGGCTATAATATACATAACAAGGAATCGCTGTGTTTGTACGTGGAAATCCACAATGTTGTAATCGTTACCTTTATTCAACTATAACATACAATGTCCGAAGTTTCACCCTTCGGACCGTTGGACTTGTCCGGTGCAACAGAACTAATCTGTCCTTTGGGTACCGTTTGGTATGCAGACGAGACGAAACGGAGGTTCCGTGTTATATTTGGTACGCGCATGACGGAATAGGACGGTTGTTCCGTTCTGTGTTTGGTACGCATTGGACGGAACGAAACCAAAAGATTGAATGACTAATTTACCCATGTTCTGTCGGTTGTTTGGTACAATGTTTATGTGTGGGACTGGAGGGACATTTTTTTTTTTTGAACTTGTTCATATTTGAACACATAACAATACCATGATTAGCTTTTGGAGATTGCAGAAGAAGCAAAACGAAAAACAATGACAGAGAATTTAGAGAGAGAAAGTGAATGACTAAAGATTGTATTCCTTGAACAATGAATGAATTACAGAGATAGAGATGGGTGTTTGTTATTTATACAAGTATTCTTTGCTTCACTCATAAGCTACTAACCAACTAACTTATATCCCTACAATCCCAACAGACCTAATGTGCTGCAACAACATGCATGGAGACCTATAAAACGAAAAGCAAAGAGAATTGGTGAGTAATAATAAAACAGAAAAACTACACAAATCACAATCAGAAAAGTTTGCTTCCATTTCCCTTTCAAACCAGTTCTCCAAAGCTCTTTCATATTGCCTAAAGACCTTTCAAACCAGTTCTCCAAAGCTCTTTCATATTGCCTAAAGAACAATGGTAATGTGGTCTGTTGTTTCACATAGCCTTCAAAAAAGGAGCCATCGTACTCTTGATTGGGAGATAGCAGCAAAAAAGGAATCTCGGAAATATACAGGTACCCATTGGGCGCGAGCATTGTATAATGATCGAAGCCAATCATTTCTTCACCATTCCACGATATCACCATTCCTTCGACATCAATCACTTCAACATCTATACTAAACCCATTGTGTAATGCTAAAGAATACAATTCCTATCTTTCGAGCTAATAAAATAGCAGTGCACCATGCATTATCTAATGATACAGCAACTCTTAAGTTGTTGAGTTGTTAACACAACAGGAATTCCAGTACCATGTCAGCCTAATAGTCATTCTCAGAAAGAGTCAGATAGTTGAAGCTGTTTGGATCAAAACTTAAACTTTGGGCTCGAGGGAAGTTGGCCTAAAGAACAGCCTAAAAGGGAAAGGAACCCGAAGGCCCAGTCAAAATCCAGCCGAAGTCCAGAAGACAGGAGAAGCCCGTTTCTGACTAGGTGCAGGCCATGCAGACCACTTGCTCACCTACCCAAAGGCCAAGTGGTATAGACCAACCAGCTAATCAGCCCAAAAAGTACTTTTAAATGGCAGTACAAGTAAAATAGCAGATGAGTCACTACCCTTCAAACTGCATTCGAGCAAGGTTGCTGCTACAGGAGGCCAAGCCAAGGTGTCTATAAAAGGAGGAAGAGAGGTCAGAATCAGAGACACTCAAACAAACAAACAAAAGCACAAACTCTGCTTAAAAGCCAGATTTGCCTTCAAAACAAAGCTGTAGTCAGCCCAAGCCTTCATCCCTTTCGGGATAAACCCTTTGTAATAGCTCTGCTACCCTGCTCAACGCCTGCTGTAGTATCGATTTTCTTTCTGCAAACTCATTTCTCAACCCCTTTTCCAAGCCTTCAAACCTTCTGTTAACCCACAAAGATAGGAAGCTGCAAGACGATCAGCCTTGCCCGACCTCCTTTGTTTTTGTCTTTTCATTCATTAGCCTAGCAATATGTTGTATACTTCAAATTATATCCAAGTTATTTATAGTGATATGGCTTTTAAAAGACTCTCTCAGCGCTTGAATCCGATTTGAATATGTCTTCACAATTCAAGCCAGATCTAAGTTCTAAGCCTTCGGGCATATAAGATTTGATCACCCTAAAAGTCCTTGGCCTCAAGGCATAAAAAAGAACCTGATGTGGACTTAACCCATCCAATACAAGCTTTGATAACAAGAAGTCCGAAGTTACCTAGGGCGCAAGTAATCGACCTACCACTTGGTTTTATTTCTGTTATATTATGATGACCATATAACGTTCGAGTACAGGATGAATTCTGATAGGAAGCCTCAAGGCCTACACTTAAGGCCTCACAAAGGCATCTATTTGAATTCATCCTATTTCTCGGGCAAGAACATTGAGTATAGAAGGGGTTCTGATGGGAAGCCTCAAGGCCTATTCAAGGCCCCACAAAGGCACCTATTTGGATCCATTCTGCTCTTTGAGCTCAGGTAATCAGAAGTATAATGGTTATAAGAACCATATAACTCCAAAAGGAACCTTATGTGTTTGAGTACTAAGTTAGTTACTTACGGGAAGCCTCAAGGCCTACACCTAAGGCCTTACAAAGGCACCTGTCAATAACTAACATAGTCTCTCGAACACATATAATTAAAACTCAAATATCCGTTCTACATCTACCATGCTGAAGATGGTAGTGGCACGCCTGAGCAAATCAAAGTTAATCTTGATCGTGAGCCTCAAGGCCTACACCTAAGGCCTCACAAAGGCACCTTTCAAAGTTAATTCTGTCATTCTCTTTCAGCCTTGCCCGACGAGCCTTGCCCGACAAAGCCCGCCAACAAAGCAGAAGCCTGACAGAAAAGCATCAACCGGCGCCAACCTCTCGGGGAGCTGTGTGCTAATCGGCCAGGAAGTATTCCCCACGGAAATTCCCTCCACGAACAGAAGCATCTAAGCCCTCAAAAGTCACATACAACTTTCACTATATTCTCAATGAATGCAACAAATTTCTCAAGCACAAACAAAAACAATAAGATATTACCTGCAATTGTATATTGTAGCCATCAATGGTTCAATAACTAGTTAAGGAAAATAAATGTATAGTCTACGAGTTCAAGTTGAAGCATATAAGCTCACCAAACATGCAACTTCCACAAGATTTCTCAATTCATTCAAGCAATTTTTCAAACACAAAGCAAACAGCCAGACGGGGAGGCTTAGGATTGTACCTGTAGCGGACCTATTAAACGGGTGAGACGAAGTGGGCATAAGCATTGGCTTCAGAGCCACAGCTGAAGGTGTAGAGACTGCGGGGCTTCCGCTGGCATTGTAAGTGTTCATCACGCTTAGCAAACTCTTCGGCCCCTGTAAAAAACAGAAAAACCCAAATCCCAAATCAGACAAATAAGAAATCTTTCAGACCGATTTCGAACAAATCGTCAGGAAAAACCAAGTGGGTACCTCTCGAATCGGCGATTTGGCAATGAGGGACGAAGCTTCGGTTCTGAAAAGAGAGTGGGTTACCAAGTAGTTGTTGTCGCAGAGGTATTGGTCGACGATGAAGGCGATTTAGACGGGGGTGACCATTCCCTTCCCCAAATTCTCAAATTTCTTGCCTTTGGATGGCTTCCCCATTTTCTGAATATTGAGAGATGTCAACTAGGGCTCGGATGGAAGGGAGGAGGAAGAAGAAGGAGACGGAGCGGTTAAGATCTGAGCAAATAGACAATGGGAGTGGGGTATTTTTGTCTTAAAATGTTATAATTTTGTGTTCCACTATAACGGGATGAAATTTCGCATTGCAGTTGAATTTCTTTGAATCAATTTTATAAAATAACAAAAATCATCAGTGCTTCAATGTATCCACCGAAAGATGCTGAAATTTGAAGCCTACATAATCATTAATCAGGTTACTCAAAATCGAGCTGATAGAAGAGCAACGATTATCTAACCGTCGAATATAATTTATGTGAATAAAATAGAAGACCAATATCGAACCATCAAGATGGTAATTATATTAAATACATGTACATATCGTCTGGTCATATTTAGGAAATCTAGTCAAAAGTCCAGCGGAGTTTGAACAATTGATACTCCTAATGCTAATGAAAACTAAACGGTTATCCAACACACTTTTAATGATAAAGTTTAGTTTTTAGTTTTTCATTTTTGAGTTCCAGATAGAGGATACATACATAGGAAAAATATGATGGGAATATAAGGGAGAGGGAAGGATGATGAAAGAGGTGTTGAGGAAATGTAAAAAGACCAAAACCTACTGCTTTTAGGGAGATAGAGGACAACCAATTTTACATTGTCATTTTAACTATTTTATTTTCTTTCTTGTTTTCTCTTCACCTCCCTCACTAAAACCTAGTGCTTTTATCTCTGATTTCTCTCATATGATTTTTCTATATCTCAAGCTAAAAACTAAAAGTAAAATGATTATCAAATAGATGTTGTATAAGTATTATAACTCTTATAAATCTTGCTAATATATAACAAGGAAAGCCAGTGATTGTACATGGAACTCCACGATGTGTGATTAAACATCTTTATTACCCAAGCTGTTATGTAAATATTCAAAGTTTCACCTTGTGAAAGTCGTTGGCTTCAAAGCCTGAAATGGTCAAGACCAGACTTCTCATCAAGCCCTTCAGAATAGAACTTTGCATAGTATTCACTTATCAAGAAATCTCTATAAAGAGGAGGGTTTTCTTCTGATATAAGCTCTTTGATCGGACCGTAGTACTTGGCCGGTGCATCAGTATTACTCTGTCCTTCGAAGAAGCATGCTATGGAAACTCTTGGACCAATGCTGTTCGCAAGCACTCTATGTTGAGCACTCTGAAACTTGTTATTTGATATAGCCTGGAAAAAAATTCAGGAAGCCATAGAAAAGTTGGTGACTACACACACACACACAACATTATGATAACAGAAAAAAATAATGTGTTTGGTTACATACCTGGAGAAAATCCCCTATATTTACTACTATGCCACCTGAAATTGGGTTCACATTTACCCATTGATTGTCATGAAGGACTTGAAGGCCACCAATTTGGTCTTGAAGAAGAATAGTGAGGAAAGAAGGATCAGAGTGCTTGCTGGCTCCCAAAGTTAGTTCTGGTTTTGGGCATGGTGGATAGTAGTGACACACAAACTTGTAATCTTTAGCGCATTCTAATTCCCTTAGGTGGTCAGGTTCGAGTCCAAGAGCCTCTGATAATATTCCAAAAAGTTGGTCTCCCAAATTTATGACATGGTTTGTGTACTCAATTGTTGCATCTCTGCATGTAGGAGTGAACAAATATTTACAAAGATATCTGAACTGAAAAAAGTATTTTTCCAAAACCATCTAAAGTTGAATTGGTAGCTGAGTACGCCTTGGATTGGTCGCCTGAAGATTTTCCCAGTAATAAATTTTGACTCATTAAATTTACCATGTGGAAATATTTTTCCAAAACCATCTAAAGTTGAACCCGCTATACATTTTTGTTGGTCTATTTATTTGCATTTTTTTTATGATGTTTTAGTATGTAGTGAGTATGTGAAAATTGATTTGAGAATTGAATCCTCGTTGAATTTTCTAAGGAGCCTATTCAACCCACTTCTAGGTTAAACTTCCAGAGTATGTTTTGTGAACATATTATACAGAGCTATATTCTTCAATTACTGAAGCCAATTTTTTATGATTAGAATGTAACCCTGCTACAATTCTTGTGGGTTAGCAGACTGTGTTAGAATTTGACGAAATGAATTATTATTTCATAATACCAAACAGTCTGAGAAAACAATATTACAGCATATTGAGTCTGACAAAATAATATTACCGTATGTGAACTAATTCAAATTGAAGTCTTACAAGTGCATATATAACTCAAAATTTAAGCAAAAACCAGCAGTAAAAATCGCCATGTAATCAATTAACCAGTTAACTAAAAGTAGATACAACCAAATCAACCACACAAACAGTAGCATTCGCAAGTGAAGGGGAAATAATAGTACTTATTTTTTCTTCTCTTATACGTCCATGCATAATCATGTGTGCTGTTTTATTTTAAATAATTCGGCGACTAAAGTGAATTGTGTGTATTTACACCGGAAATTTTTTTGGTCCTTAGGTCTTGATGATTGAATATTTAACCAAGGCCAAAAATCTCGGTGTCCATATCTGTACATATATGGTAGAAGTAGAAAATCCCTTTGACAAGTGATGAATACGTACCTACAGACTGAAGGAAGCTGTTTGGGATCATGATCAACAGCAGACCTGGTAAAAGACACAGTATCCCTCCAATTAGCTGCTTTTGACTGGTACAGATCATAGTTGCTATTGAATCGGACGGTTCTCCCTAGATCACGGGAATAGAACTCTTTCTTCGCATCAAGATCCTGCTCATGAAACCCAACTATTCCTTGGATCATATTTTCCAGCACACTCAGTGGGACTCTATGATTGACCACTTGGAAGAATCCCCATGTTTCGGACGCAGTCCGAACATCATCTACAATCTGCTTGTGGATCTCATCACTACCATTGATGCCACTGAGATCAATGACAGGAATTAGCAGGTTGGGTTGGGGACACGTGGTAAACTGGGTGAGATCGTTGGGTGGCTCTATGAATATCTTGGGTACATGAACTGTGCCAGCATCTGCTAGGCCTTTGACTCCAGCCATCGTATCATCGAAAGCTTTTAGCTCTTTGGCTCGGTCGTATTTGTCAGATTCATGCGAGTCTGCATGCCCAACAAGTTTGATACCCATGAACTTTTCAATAGCAAAACTTGATCAAGTGTCTGTGACTGAATATTGTCCTACTTTGGCTCATGCTTCGTAATGTGGGAAAAAACTTCATTTATTCAGAAAGTAATTCTAATGTGTGGACTCTGGTGGAGCTAGCTTAACTTTATAAATGTGGTTTTCAACTGACCACACAACCCACCGACATCCGCTCTCTCTTTATGAGGGGGCCAAGAGTAACTCTTTTTTAGATACCAGTTAGTAGGTTAAATTATTAGCTATTAGGGGCGAGGGACATCGATAAGAATCAAACTTTCACCAGAATGATGGTGACATCTCTACTCCATATGTGCAGCTCCGTTGGAATGCTGCTGAGTTTATGACTAGATTTTTGAGATATTTGTATTTCAATTTGCCTTATTTTGCCCCTGGAAAATCATGATCCCACACTAACTCTGTCTGTGTCTTTATTTTATGAGATTGTTATGTCGCCGTGTCTTGTGTCACCGCATCCGCCACCATATCAGCGCAAGTGCAACATAGGTTCCCGGATATCACAATTCAGACTCCACGTGTTTTCGTTGCTGCCACATGTGGAACTTTGCAAGTTACGTGTAGTTATGGTACTTGAACTTTATTTTGCTCTCCTCCTACCAAAAGAGTTCTAATTACCTGGAACTCTTGTAATAAACACATACTTGGTGTGGTTCTTAAAATGTAAGTTGATGAGATAATATCAGTACGTTTTATTACAAGCAAACACATCCGATATAGTGGTTCACAGAAGATTGATCCATACATTTTTATAGTTGCAAAAACATATACATGAGAAAACTTTACAATTTTAAATAGTTAAGTGCAGAGACCCCATCGAGGCCTTTATTGTAGTAATGCTCGAGAAAATCATTCACAGTGGTTTCCCGGTACATAGGTGGATTTTCTTCTGATGTCAACTCCTTGAGTGGCTCATACAGTCTCGATGTGTTATCCCGCGAAACATGTCTAAAAATACATCCCACAGATATCCTTGGACCTTCATGCTTAGCCAATACTCTGTGGTTGACGCTTATGAACTTGTCATTTGAAATTAGCTGCATCAAAACACAGATTAGAAACTAAAGCTATTTGCTGAAATTTTTTTCTTGGGAAAATAGTATTTCATGTAGAAATTATAGAGTTCTTGCCTGCAAGAGATCTCCAATGTTCACTACAAGAGCTTCCGGCACAGAAGGAACATCAATCCACTGGTTGTGACACAGAGCCCGGAGTCCACCGATGTGGTCTTGAAGTAGGATGGTGAGAAAAGAAGGATCGGAGTGTTTGCTAGTGCCCATAGTCAGCTCAGGTTCAGGGGATGGGGAATAGTAGTGACTAACAATAAGAGGCCCCCCTGCACAATCCAGGCCTGTAAGGTGGTCAGATTTCAGCCCTAGTGCTTCGGATAGCAATTCAAACAAAGTGACACCTAATTTGTGGACATGGTCTGCATACTCCATGGTTATGTCCCTGTAATTTGAACCAAGAAATAAAACGAGAACACCAAATGGGATGAGATTAATTTGTTTATTCAATCTAAAATTTCGGAATAATAAGTGCACGAGAGAAGAAAATATATGCCCAAAAATCACTTCCTAACAAAAAAAAAATAATTAAATTGAACAATGTGATAAAGATGCTAAGACCATGCAAGTGGTCCTTACCACAGTAGCGGAAATGTGTTGCGCTTGCATGACTGCATGTGTTCAATCTCCATCAGTAGCTAATATACAACTTAATCTAACAAAATCTATCTTTTGCCAAAAAAAAAAAAAAAAAAAAAGGGCTAAGATATACACCTGCAAACATCCGGCAATTCCGGCGGATCAAAAGGCTGATCAGGACCCATAACACAAAACAAACTGTCCCTCCAATTAGCAAACCTTGACTTGTACAAATCAAAGTTACTTCCGAACTTGACTTTCCTCGCCCTCTCCCTGCTATAGTACACAGCCTTCACCTCCGTAGGCAGCTCGTGGACCCACGCGCAGCCTCCAACATCTTCTCCAACACTCTCTTGGGTATTCCATGGTTCACCACCTGTAAGAACCCAACTGTCTCCGCAGCAAACCGAACTCCGGCAACCACGTCATGACGCTGCACGGCGGTGTCAGCAAGGTCCACTATGGTATGCTGAATTGGGTTTGGATTGGTTGGCCGGAACTTGGGTTGTCTCCGGCGAGATCTTCTGGAGGGCGGACAAAAATGGATGGTATTTTGGTGATGCCGCCATCAACGATCCCTATGACACCAGCTTTGGAGTCATCAAAGGCTTTTAGCTGTTGGAAACGGTCTTGGTTTCTTGAGTTCCCAGATAGCATTTTCTCCTGTGCTTTGTAGTTTGCTTAATCTTTGCAGTTGGTTTCTTGACTTCAAAATGCATTTAAGAAAAGAAGGTTGGCTTCAAGGCAAAGAATTCCTAACAGATCATTCACTTTTGGCCACAAGCACCGTTAGTCTTCAGTTTATAGGGACAGGGCAAAAGACAATTCAATGGGAATTGCGAGAAACGCTACACTTGTCAAATATTTATGCTATTATTTGTATCATCCCTCTAATAAAAGTAGGATTCACTAATATATATATATATCAGTGTAATCTTTATCAAGAGTAGCATTTTTTATTGTGAGATATATATTGTTGAGAGTGTGAATCCTATATCAGAATTGGTTTTATGGTAGAATCCCAAATTCTTCATGGTATTAGAAAAGGTTGTCTTATGTGTAAAACCCAACTGTCATGCGTGCTCCACGTCACCCGATTTGTATTGTTCACGTGATAGGTTTGAAAATTCGTCACATGCGAGAAGGGTGTTAGGAGTATAAATCCCACGTCAGGGAAAAAAATCCCATGGCAGGGAAATGAGGGATTAATTCTTCATATTATCAATTGATTTTGTAATAGAATCTAAATTATTCATATATGCATGAGACACTGATATGAGGTTATGATTTTACAAGTTAGTGATTATTGGTATATGATTTTGTGGAGGATTGAGAATATGCTCTTATTATAGTGATGAATGTTGGAGTTAATGTAGGAGTTAAAAGCAACTTAAGCAGTGTGATTTAGAATTATTGTTGCTGATAAGCTTGCTGCAACTGACTTTAACACGGAGGGTTTGCAGGGTTGATTTATGTATGTTTGTAGGGTTCTTATGCAAGGATGTGAAGAGAGGTCCCACCTCAGAAGTTTATAAAACTTTTATATATATATTTATAAAGAGTTGTGCTATTTCTCATTTTACTTATGGTAAAACTTTAACTTCTTTCATCGCAAGTGTATAGCTATTGTTGAACTTCGACTTATAGCGTACCCAAAAAAGCATGAGAAAGAAAATTCCAAAAGAAGAATCTAGATTTCCAGAGGAGTGCCAGATCCTATGTTCGGGGTTCGTCGGTTCCAAATCAAGTGCTTGGTGGCACCTGTGATTGTCAAGGAAAATAGATGTTCTCCCCAAAAAAGAAGAAAACAAATTACATGAGGTAGAGAATGGAGACACTGAAAATATATAATGTAGGTAGATTCAGAATAAATTTCAGTCTCATATACTTTATTTTCTCCATATTAGAGAAAGGTATACAATTACAAAAGAGTAGTATAAGGATATAAATCTAAATTACTTTAATCTAAAGTAGGAATGACGGTCACGATTAAATTACGTTAATATTTTATGTTAATTTTTTATAAAAAAAGAAAGACAAAATAAAGAATGAGAGAGAAGATGGAAATAGGAGAGGTGAGAAACCTGATACTTCGGGATGGGAGGCCATGCCGCTCTGTCTGCCACTACTTTTGATCCAGGCGTGTGTGAGCCGTTCCTTCAGCCAAAACAGGTGCTCTCTCCACTTTTCATCTTTTCCGTACTCATACCCTAGCTGCTCTACCTCTCTCTCCCACACACAAGCAAACTCCATCGGAAAGCCGAAGAATCCAAAGGTGCTCTCTCCATTAATTTCAATCGTCCTTTTTTTCCCCTTATTTCTTCTTCCTCCGACTCGCTTTTCCTGCTGCTGCTTCTTCTTCTTCTTTCCCCTTTTGGCTCCCCCCTCTCTTGCTTTATTTCTTCTGATATTTTCTCTCTCTTGCTCTCATCAAAATCTCACAGCAGTCTTTGGAGTTGGGGGCTTTTGCTCTGTTGGTTTTTTTTTTTTTTTTCCAATAACTCATAGGGCCGAAAGGTATTCCCTTTTCATATTCTTCTCTCCCAATTTCTTTAGGGTTAATTTCAATTTTCTTCTGCTATTTGCAGTGGTGCTTTTTTGGGTTTAACTATTTGATTTCACAGATTCATTACAGGCACAGTAAATAGTTACATTCTAAATTCATATTTCATAACTTGGTTGCTTGATTCTAATGTCGATTCGTTACAACGGTAGTGAACTTTTTCTTTCAATAATTTAATCTGATGTAACTCTGTTTTTGTTGTCTCATGTCTAGGTTGGTCAAGGACATGGGGAGAAGAGCACTTTGGAAATGGGTACGAAAGGAAATAAACTTGCTGAACTGCTTTGGCATCTATTGTTCTGGTTTTTCTTTGACAAGTTAACTTGCTCTCTCTTTGCGGTAAGGTGCACAGATATGGGAAAATCACGACAGGGGAAAGCTGGGATAGTGTTGTGGATGAGGGGACCTATTACGAGTAAGAGTCTGGACTTGGTTCTGGTTCTGTCTGCATATAGTATGTTGAAGCAGTCAAAAGGATTTCAGGGGAACCAAATATAAATAATTTAGGTTACATCTTCCGGTATTGCTCTTACTGTAAAAGTAATTTTAATCTTTCACTTTTTTATGAAGGGCTGAGCCGCATTACGGGTGGGCAGATGTCGTTGGTGACTCTAGCCAATTGCTGTCAATTAAACCTCGAGAAAGGCCACCTGGCGTCTACCCTGCCCTTGATTTTGGATCATTGTCGCCTTCAGTTGATGAACCACCAGATGAATTTTCTCCAATATCGTGCGGCTCAAAGAATTTTGTATGTGTTTACGCGTATTTTTGTACTCTGAATAATTCTAATCAAATTCCATTGCTCCTAAGCTAAGGTCAGAATTTGTAGCATGGAAGGGAAGGTTAGCAGATACTTGCCAATTATCCAAAGCTGGATATTAAGGTCTTTAAGCTTAACATCTTTTTGTATGTGTAGCAGCTGCTTGGAAAAGGTTTCAACTTTAATGTCTGAAAGAGTTATTACTCTTCACTGATTGTTAAGAACTAGGATTAAAGAAAAGCATTCTTTAAAGTTTAAACTGGAAGGGGGCAGGTTATAAATTACAGGTGAAATGAAACTAGGAATATATAGTCTTATGATTTGTGTCTAAAAACATAATAAAGGATATTACGTCCATCCATGATAACAATAAGATTGTTATTTATGTGGTTATGAGGTTCAAGTCTCTTTGATTAAACATTTTCTTTCTCACTCAGGGGTTCACCATGAACCACCTCTTTTTGATCAGCTATTATACTTGAATATGATTTTCAATTTGTTGGTGCTACAACAAAAACATGTCCTTAACTGTGAAAGGAATCCACCTTTGTGACTTTGGTTACCGATTTATGATGAATATGATTGTCTTAGTTTATTATCAGGACAATGTTAATTTCACTTGATTATTTCACATTTTCCAGGTCAATCTTTGATTTTGAGTCTTTCCGAAAGTTGCTATCATCTCCAAAATCCTTATTCTGGTATGTAGATAGCTGCTAAGTGCTGCAGCTCACTAAGTTTGGCCTCATGCCTTCATTGTAGCATGCCCTCTATGACAAGTAAGCATTATAATTCCACTTTGTGGATTGATATTAAGTTGGCTTATGGAATAATATAAGGTCGTGTCATGGTTGAACATTTCTACATTCTTTATAGTTAGGATTATTTTTTTCTTTGTGAAATTTTGACCTCTTGCTTTTCAATTAAGAAGCCCGATTACTGTTGCAATTTTATAGCATGTCACTAATAAATATTCGTACATTATTTTGATCAACCAATTTTCTAGGAAAATGGCGTTTGTGAATTGTGGTTAGACATAGTGTTTGAATTTTTTTTTTCCTGTTGAAAATTGCATGGCACAGTTAATAATTTCTCTATCATGATTTTGTTTGATAAATTAGCTTCTCTATCAAAATTGAAGTCTGAATATGCCAATACAACCATATAATTATACTAGTTGGGACAGTTTCTGCAAATCTTTTTGTGACTTTTTTGCAGGTATATATAATTATAATAGTTGGGACAGTCTGAATATGCCAATAGAACCATATAATTTCTCTATCATGACATTGTTCCATTGCTTTCTTGCAGGTATATATATTTTGGCTATTTGAGAACGTGAATGAATACGCAAAGGTCTTGATGATACTATTTAGGTACAATTTTGAACTTTTAGTGTTTACAATATGATACCTCATTGACCATGGGTTTGATTCTATTATATCCCGTTAGTTTGATTCTAATATCAGTGCGGGTACTGACCTTCTGGATGTGTGGGCACACGAGAAATGATTAGGAATGAGGATATCCGAGGTAAAGTAGGAGTAGCCGAAATTGAAGGCAAGATGAGATAAAATCGGTTACGGTGGTTTGGACATGTGCAAAGAAGGCATACTGATGCTCCGGTTAGGTCATCTCCAACCGATGGCTAGCCAGAGGGCTCGTTTTAGCCCTCTGGCCCTCTAAGATTCTTCAAGATATTAATATTTTAATGAACAGTATAGGGTCATATTTGCCTCCGTCTCCAACCGAGGGCCAAAGGGTTCGTTTTAGCCCTCTCACAACAAACCGTCTCCAACCGAGGGCCAAAGGGCTAAACATAATTTATTATTTAAATTTAAAAACTACAACTTAAATTTAAAAACAACAATAACTTAAATTTAAAAACTACAACTTATATTTAAAAACTACAACTAAAATTTAAAAATGACAAATTAAATTTAAAAACTACAACTTAAATTTAATATCCATAATCATTATTATCTTCATCATTCGCCATCGTAGGAGTATAGTCTGTCACAAACAACTGCCATTGGCTCATAATTTCTTGTTTTTTTCCTATCAAAATAGGCTTTACTCATTGAAGTGTAATTCGAAGTGTTCATTTCCATATTCTTATCATCTATCTCTTCTTGTATTTGCTTGACCCGTTCTTCATGCCTACACTTCCTTTCTTCCGCATCAAGGGCATTTTGCTCCGTCAATAATCGCAATGAGGCCGCCACTTCATGTTGAGCAGCGTAATCAGTATTTGCCTTGCCATTTTCCCTCAACCTCCGGACCTTGTTTTGTCTCATAGCCCTAGGTAAAGAACTTTCGGACGGAGTCGGATTTTCTACCATTGTTTGTTGAATGGTAGGAGATCCATCTTCATTCATATCTACAGATGGGGATGCAGCTCCCAAAGGATCCGCTCTATGTTGAGGTGGATCTTCAAATAACACCCACCCTTTACAAATTTCCCAACAACCGTGAAACTGAAAGGGTTTTGAGCTGCTCTCCATATACAATTCCTCCGCATGGCGTACCTAAAAAATATAATTACAAAAATTTTAGGAAATTAAATGTAATATAATTAAACATTTAAAATAAACTGTGAAAACACTAACTTCGTCATAGTAATTGGCGCCGTTTTCATGTCTACTTGCGGCTGCTAATAGTGCTTGATGTCATTTATTCAAACTTGGATGAAAATGTTTCTTCCATCTTGAAGAACAACTTTCGTGGTTTCGGGTATTCGGTGGAATGGTGCTTTCGTAGAACTCTAAGTATTTGTTGGACACACGAGTTCAAACACCTTCACTTGTTTGAGAAATCCCCCTCACACTATCTTCTGAGACCCATCTATAAGCCTTACAAAGAGCTTCATCTTCTTTTCGGGTCCAAGCTCTACCTTTCATTGCAAATGAGGCCATTTTTTTTGAAAAAAATGAAGGAAATATTGAAGGAAATTATTGAAAAAATATTGAAGGAAATTATTGAAAAATTGAAACAAATATTATAGATGAAGGAAATATTGGAAAATATATTGAAGGAAATATTAAGAAATATATTGAAGGAAATATTGAAAAATATTCAAGGAAATATTGTAAATGAAGTGAAGAATTGAAAGAACTTCATCATATTTATAGAAGAAAAGAAATGTTTAAATTAAAAAAAAAAAAACCCAACGGCTAGCTGACTCAGCTAGCCATTATATTCAAAAAAATTTCAAACTATTAGTGTCGGTTATAACCGACACTAATAGTAAATAAAAAAAAAATTTTGCCTATGAATACCTATTACTGTTAGTTATAGCTGACATTATTAAAAAAATCCTTCTTTAATGTTGTCGGTTATAACTGACAACAATAGGAAAACTATAAAAAAAAAAAAATAGCCAGCCCGGGGTTGGCTGACTGGTCAAAAGCAGCCAGCCCTTTGGCCTTTTGGTCCTTTGAAATTCTGTGGGGCCCTTCCAGATTTCCGAGCCCTCTGGCCTAGTCCTTGGTTGGAGATGGTCTTAAAAGATGCAACAACGGGATAAAGGTCCAGGGCCGAAGGGGTAGATGAAGACCTAGGAAAACTTTGGAAGAGACTCTAAGAAAAGACTTAGGCCATCTCTAATCGAAAGGTCCAGAAGGCCGAAAATAGCCCTAAAATCGCCTCCAACCGAGGGCTAGGCCAAAGGGTTCGGGAATCTAGGAGAGCCCCACGAAATTTCAAAGGGCCAAAGGGCCAAAGGGCAAGCTAGCTGGCCATTTTTTTTTATAGTTTTTTTATTGTTGTCGGTTATAACCGACAGCATTAAAGAATGATTTTTTAATACTATTGGTTATAACCGACAGTAATAGGTATTCATAGGAAATATTTTTTTTTATTTACTATTAGTGTCTATTATAACCAACACTAATAGTTTGAAATTTTTTTGAATATAACGGCTAGCTGAGTCAGCTAGCTGTTGGGTGTTTTTTTTTTTTTTTTTTTTTTTTTTTTTGAAATTTAAACATTTCTTTTCTCCTATAAATATGGTGAAGTTCTTTCAATTCTTCACTTCATTTGCAATATTTCCTTCTTCAATAATTTTCAATATTTCCTTCAATACATTTCTCAATATTTCCTTCAATATATTTTCCAATATTTCCTTCATCTATAATATTTGTTTCAATTTTTCAATAATTTCCTTCAATATTTCCTTCATTTTTTTCAAAAAAAAATGGTCTCATCTGCAATGAAAAGTAGGGCTTGGACTCGAAAAGAAGATGAAGCTCTTTGCAAGGCTCATAGATGGGTCTTAGAAGATAGTGTGAGGGGGATTTCTCAAATAAGTGAAGGTGTTTGGACTCGTGTGTCCAAAAAATACTTAGAGTTCTACGAAAGCACCATTCCACCCAATACTCGAAACCATGAAAGTTGTTCTTCAAGATGGAAGAAACATCTTCATCCAAGTTTGAATAAATGACATCAAGCACTATTAGCAGCCGCAAGTAGACATGAAGCGGTGCCAATTACTATGACGAAGTTAGTGTTTTCACAGTTTATTTTAAATGTTTAATTATATTACTTTTAATTTTTGTAATTATATGTCATTATATTACATTTAATTTCCTAAAATTTTTGTAATTATATTTTCTAGGTACGCCAAGCGGAGGAATTGTATATGAAGGGCAGCTCAAAACCCTTTTAGTTTCACAGTTGTTGGGAAATTTGTAAAGGGTGGGTGTTATTTGAAGATCCACCTCAACATAGAGTGGATCTTTTGGGAGTTGCATCCCCATCTGTAGATATAAATGAAGATGGATCTCCTACCATTCAACAAACAAGGGTAGAAAATCCGACTCCGTCCGAAAGTTCTTTACCTAGGGCTATGGGACAAAACAAGGCCCGAAGGTTGAGGGAAAAGGGCAAGGCAAATGCTGATTACGCCGCTCAACATGAAGTGGCAGCCTCATTGCGATTATTGGCGGAGCAAAATGCCCTTGAGGCGGAAGAAAGGAAGTGGAGGCATGAAGAACGGGCCAAGCAAATACAATAAGAGATGGATGATAAGAATATGGAAATGAACACTTCGAATTACACTTCAATGAGTAAGGCCTATTTTGATAGGAAAAAAATAAGAAATTATGAGCCGACAACAGTTGTTTGTAACAAACTATACTCCTACGATGGCGGATGATGAAGATAATAATGATTATGGATATTAAATTTAAGTTGTAGTTTTTAAATTTAATTTGTCATTTTTAAATTTAAGTTATTGTTTTTAAATTTAAGTTGTAGTTTTTAAATAATAAATTATGTTTAGCCCTTTGGCCCTCGGTTGGAGATGGCTTTTTATGAGGGTTAAAACGAGCCCTTTGGTCCTCGGTTGGAGACGGAGGCAAATATGATCCTGTACTGTTTATTAAAATATTAATATCTTGAAGAATCTTAGAGGGCTAAAACGAGCCATCTGACCAGCCATCGGTTGGAGATGGTCTAGAGTACTTGGATCTGATGGAGGACATTACACAGATCCGAGTGCAATGGCGTTCTAGGATTCATATAGCCGACCCCACTTAATGGGAAAATGCTTTGTTGTTGTGGGTTGGGGGAAGATTAGAAAATTTTTCATTATTTTTCTGGATTTGTGGTTTTTTATTTATTTAGGGATTAGAAAATTTGTTGATCAGAACTTGGATGTCATCCTCGGAGAAGCAGTAGCGGTCGACGAGGCATCAGTGTATTCGTCTGACGTCGTTTATGCAGCCTTTGAGCTCTGCCTTTGTTCCCTGGTAGTTGTATCCTATCAGCACTGCCTTCTTCAACCACTTCTGAAGATTTCCGATCACTCTCACTTTTTTTTTTTGTTTTTTTTTGTTTTTTTTTTTTGTTTTTGTGAAAGAAGGAGAATTGCATTGTGATGCTCTGTTTTTTATTGCCTTAAAAATTAGAGTTTTATTATTTATTTATTCCGGAATCACAATAATATTTTAATGTACAAATCTTTTGTTTAATTAATATACATGTTGAATTAGTTTTTTAATTTGGTTTTGGTTTGGGTTGGTGTCGGCAAAGAAGAACAAGATAAGTACTTGGATGCACGTCCAGGCTTTTAATTGCATACCAATTGCTGCATGATATATTTTGCCATATTGACAAGATATTGTGCGAATGACTATCTATCTTTTAAAATTGATACAAGTTACATTTAGAGTTATCTTGAAAATATTTGTAGTATCTTAAGCAGTCTTGAGTATACCCATAACTTGGCTGTTTAATTCCTATATGAACTGTCTTTGGCTGAATGCCACTCAAATACGTTTTTCT